ATAGTACGGCACCCAGATAAAAAGGACCCTGAAAAGGACCCTAACTTAGAGGGCAGCTCTAGAGAACCCTGTCTAGGTCCCTAAAATAGTACGGTGCCCGTATAAAAAGGAGCCTAAAAGGGACCCTAACTTAGAGAACTACGCAAATCCCGGAGCCCCAAAGCCCTGAACCTCTGAATCCGAACCCCCGAAGGGCTGCAGGACCCCAAAGCCCCAAAGCGACAGCCTATGCCCTAAACCCTAAACCTTAAACTTTTAAACCCAAAACCCCAAACGCTAAACCGTAAGCCTTAAACCTTAAACCTTGAACCCTAAGCCCTAAACCCTAATCCCTAAACCGTGAGCCCTAATCCCAAATCCCTGAACCCTAAACCCTAAACCCTAAACCTTAAACCCTAAACCCTGAACCCTAAGCCCTAAACCCCTAAGGCCTAAACCCTGCACCCGACTCGAAAGTGCAAGGCTGCAGCGCAGCTGGGCCAAGATCAAGCAGGCCATCGACAGCCGAGCTCCAAAGCGCTTGCAGGCCCCTTGGTTTGGTTTAGGGTTTGGGGTTTGGGGTTTGGGGTTTAGGGTTTAGGGTTTAGGGTGGTGTTCACGCAGTTTGAGGTTTCGTTGAGGTTTGGGGATATGGGTTGTCGAGGTTTTCTTTCTTGTGGCTTCAAGCGTGATGAAAGATATTCTCAAGAGTGGAGCACGGGGTTTTAGAGTTCAGGGCTGCAGCGGCTTAAGATGACGATGTTGCACCTTTTGGCACCGACACACCATCAGCCAGAACAGCCTTGACGCAGCAAAGGGAAGCAAAAAGGCCTATGGCACAATTAGGGGCCTTCTCTTATGTTCTAGTTATATTATTGTATATCGTACTGCATATTAATTGTCTAAAACGAGTTATTCTCAGCCTAACCCCTAGACCCTAAACCCTAAACCCTAAACCCTAAACCCCAAACCGTAAACCCTAAACCCTAAACCCTAAACCCTGAACCCTAAACCAAAACCCCAAGGTTATCCAAGAGCTGCTGGTCCGTGGCTTGGACCTGGACTTCACCTCCCTGGGCCGGGATCAGCCCTCCGTTCTCTGGCTGGCGGCGGCGAACAACGACCTGGAGGTCGGAGACCCAGTTTAGGGTTAAGGGTTTAGGGTTAAGGGTTTAGGGTTTAGGGTTTAGAGTTTAGGGTTTAGGGTTTAGGGTTTAGGGTTGAGGTCAGAGATCCAGAGAGCCCAAGACCCCTTAACTAAGGAATATGGTTTAGGGTTTAGGGTTTAGGGTTTAGGGTTTAGGGTTTAGGGTTTAGGGATATAGCTTAAATCATAGGGGCCTTCATATTATGGTCTAAGCTCTGTTCCTGAATTATGGGGTATTGGGCTCTCTAGCGCCCGGGGGGGGGGTGGAGTTTCCGGCTGAAGGGCTATGGGTTAGAGCTTTAGATCGAGGGTTGAGGGCTTTATGGGTTTTTCGGTGCAGGGTTTGAGGCTTTAGGGTTTGGGGCTTTATTTGTCATGGGTTTAGAGCTTTAGAGCTGCAGGGGCTTCGGGCTTTGGGGGTTCTACGGTTCAGGGTTTGAAGGCTTTAGGGTTTAGGGTTTGAGGGTTGGGGTTTAGGGTTCGGGTTTGGGGTTTAGGGTTTAGGGTTTAGGGCAGTATTATGGCGTGTACTCTAGAAGCCTAAATAATTACCGATAGTGTTCCGTACTACAAGCATACGATAAAAAGGAGCCCAAAACCCAATTCTAATTCTTAAGGCCCCGACAATACATCGATCCAGCCTGCTGGGAGCAGTGTCTGAACCCTAACCCCTAAACCCTAAACCCTAAACCCCTAAGTCCCAAACCCCTAAACCCCTAAACCCTAAACCCTGGCCCTAAACCCCTAAACCCTAAACCCCTAAACCCCTAAACCCTAAACCCTAAACCCTAAACCCCCATCTTCGTAGGAGGACCCGAGCTCATGGAGGCCCCCCGAAAGCGAGGAGTCTTCAGAGAGCTATTCCATACCTTCCAACATAGTATAGGGGCCTCAAGAATTAGAATAGCGTTTTGGGGTCCTTCATAGTATAATTACAGTAAAGGAACCCCCAAAATAATATAGGTGATCATTGAGGCCCCTACATTACTTTAGTTGCTCTAGCTGTGGAGCGTTCCGCCGGTAATCTTTGGATAGTCATAGGGGCGAGCTGCCAGGTCCTAAACCCTAAACCCTAAACTCTCAACCCTAAACCCTAAACCCTGCTGCCAGGTCCTCCAGATGTGCCTGGCTTGTGGAGCAGACCCCCATCGCGACAGCAGCGGCGTGCTCCCGACGGAGGTTGCAGCTTCTACGGGCGCCCTCCAGGCCCAAAGTCAGGGCTTAGCTTCAGGGTCCAGGGTTTTTTAGGGTTTTAGGGTTTTAGGGTTTTAGGGTTTTAGGGTTTTAGGGTTTAAGGTTTAAGGTTACAGGTCTGTCACAGCTGTCGCTTGGATGTGACACTCCGACTCCATCGCGCTAGCCGCTAGTCGTTACAAGCTACCGCGAACACCGCTGACGATAATGTTGGCAGTGGTGAAGGCGGTGATTGCGAGGATGGCAGTCAGGAGGCAGAAGGTGGCGATCATGTTGAGGATAGGACGTTGCGGTTGATGGCGCTGATGTTCATGATGAAGGCAGAGATGATAACCACAATGCTGCTGCTGACGACGACGACCAAGACCAACAACAACAATAAGATGAAGATGGTGATGATGATAATGATGATGATAAGTGGCGGTGGTCATCAACATCATCTTCACCATCACCATCACCATCATCACCACGACCATCATCATGATCATGATCATGATCATCATCACCATCATAATAATCACAATCATCATCACATCATCTTCTTCTTCATCATCATCATGGTCAGCATCATCATCATCATCATCATCATCATCATCATCATCATCAGCGTCATCATCATCAGCATCAGCATCAGCATCAGCATCAGCATCAGCATCAGCATCAGCATCAGCATCAGCATCATCATCATCAGCAGCAGCATCACCATCATCATCATCACCATCATCACCATCATCATCATCAGCACTTGCTGATTCTTCTTAGTGTTCTTCACCATGAGCGCCACCACTGTTTATGATTATGGGGACGGCGCTGCTGTTCATCTTTGTCTTCCTGACCAGGGCATGATCGTAGTCTCGCTGCCTTCCTAATAACGAATTCAGCATCTTCGCCCTTATCTTTTCGCATAGCCACCATCACATTACCATCATGGGCGCCGTTGTCACTGTCCGCTGTCCCTTCTCCATCAGCACCGTTCTAATCATCCCTTCGTCGTCATCATCATCTCATCAGCACTACAGTCGTCACCGTTATCAGCCGGTGGTTAGTACACTACAAAGGTTCGCCTTATATTATATAGCCAGTCGAACATCAATGAAGAAGCCAACGTCACTGGACGAGTGGAATGCTAGAGAGCAGGCAGTACTTCGATCAGATCGATGCAGTTACGACGGTAACTCAATCCTATGAAGGGTCCACCAACGCCAGGAATCCGAGCCAGGCCAATCAAAGCAGAAACGGCAATAACATTGCTTTAGCACGGCAGAGCAAAATTCCGAGAGACCGCCACCCAGGCCTGAAGCAGTGAGCTCTAAAGTGTAGGCCCCAAGACACACACACACACACATCCTATATAATCCCCAAAACTTGCATGATCGAAACGCTGAACCTCTAAGCCATTATCATGGTTTCGGGTTAAGATTCCGAACGTCTCAGAAACCCTAAACCCTAAACCCGAAATCCGGACCTAAAAGCCTTGAGCTCTTGGTCCCATACCGTATGCCCATACCCGTAGCCATTCAACCCTGGAAGTTAAACATCCTGAGCTTGAACCCTAAGCTAGGGTTTAGGAATTAGGGTTTAGGGTTCCCATGCCCTCACCCAGAGAGCCCAATACCCCTTAATTCAGGAATGTTTGCTTAAATCATGGGGGCCTTAAGATTATGGTTTAAGCTATCAAACCTCAAGCCCTGTTGTCGCAGAACCCCATAAGCCCCTACAGGAGCCCCATAGAACCCCCTGTGAAAGATTCAGAACACCATATTAAAGTCTTGCATTAACTGTAAACCCCAAACCTAAACCCTAAACCCGAAGCCCCCAAACCCTAAACCCTAAACCCCAAACTCTAAACCATCCCCCCCGGTTCAAAGAAAACACCTAAACCCGAAACCCTAAGCCCCTTAAT